GTCGGTTCCTTACTACCGTCTCTTCCCCTACCGCACTGCACCCCTTCCCCCGCCGCCGCTCTTCCTTGCGCCAGGTCCCCACTCGGTAGACCCCCTCCCCCCTCAGGGTCGTGCCTCGTAAGGTGTGTCCCAGGAAGACGCAGTTGAGCCTGTCGAGGTAGCTGTTGACTCTGGTACTGCTAGCGATGCTGAGCTTGGGGTTGCTGAGTTTGAGGGTGCTGAACCTGGGGGTGCTGAGTCTCGGGGTGCTGGGCCTGGGGGTGCGGAGCCTGGGGGTACGGAGCCTGCGGGTGCTGAGTCTGGGGGTGCGGAGCCTGGGGGTACGGAGCCTGGGGGTGCGGAGCCTGGGGGTGCTGGGTCTGCTCGTGTGGCCTCTAGCGTTGCTGGGTTTAGGGCCCCTTCGGGTGCTTTGTCGAGGCGGGAACTACCCTCTCCACAGGAGCTGCGCGATTGGTTTGCCCGGCGCTGGAGCCGTGCTGCTGTTACTGTTGACCCTAGGGTCGGCACTGGAGTTACTAGAGCCAATGCACCTGGAGGTGCTCGTACTGGCGGTACTGGAGCTGCTGGGCCTGGAGGTGCTGCTGATGCTGCTAGAGCTGACGGTCCTACTGGAGGTGGTGCTACTGGAGCTGGAGCTGCTGGAGGTGCTGCTGGCGCTGGTGCTTCTAAGGGTGCTGGAGTTGGCGCTGTTGGAGCTGGGAGTGCTGCTGGCGCTGGTGCTGCCGCTTCGGGTACTTGTGCTGTCCCTGCTGTTTCTAGAGGCGCTGCGCGGCCGCGGCCGTACTTCGTTCCGCTCCTTGAGTAGGCTCTTGGTCTCCCGCCCTCTACTGGTCCTGGTCCTCCCTTAGAGTGTCCACAGCCTGTCCAGTCGCGGTCACAGTTACAGCTCGCCTCCCCCTTGCCTGCTCTTTCTCCCTACACTGGTCCTACTGGAGGTCTTGCTGAGCGTCGTGAGCCTGCGTCTCGTCCTGCGTCGCCTGTTCGTGCTGCTCGCACTAGTAGTCGTGCTCCGCGTCCGCGTCCCCCTGCGGTCCCAGGCACACACCAGATGGCACGGCGTCCTTCCACTGCTCCTCTGCGTGTCCCGTTGCCGTCTCCTCCAGAGTCCTCTTTTCCTGTCCTTGCTGACCCGGAGTCTGACTCTGTTCGTGCTGCCAGTCCTACTGTCACGCGTCTCCTAGGTACTCTTGTCACTAACCCTTCCTTTGAGTCCACTAGTGCGTCTGCCCTAGTTGCTGAGCTTGTCGACTTTGCTGCTCACAGTCGTCTAGACTACGCTGCTAGTCTTGTTGCAGAGTCTGAGTCTGTCTGTCCTTTGTCAGTCGGGGGTGAGTGTGCTCTTAGCACGAACGTCCCTGAGGACAGGCAGGAGGAGCTCCAGTGTTTTGCTGCTGCTTTGCCTCATCTCGTGTCCACGCTGATTGCCCATGAGGGAGACCCGGATGCACCAGACATCCCGACTCCTCGATTGTACGCTGAGGCGATCGAGGGTCCCTACTCCTCACAGTTGCAGTCAGCCATGGACGCAGAGATAGCTTCCTGAAAGTCCACACGCACCTCCGTCGACGAGGTTCCCCCACCTGGGGCGAACATCGTCAGTGGCATGTGGATTTTCAGGGTGAAGCTGCCGCCAGGTTCTCCGCTTGTCTTCAAGGCGCGTTACGTGGCTCGAGGCTTCAGTCAGCGGCAAGGAGTGGACTACTTTCAGACCTTCTCTCCCACCCCGAAGATGACCACCGTTTGGGTGCTACTGCACATAGCCGCTCAGCGCGACTACGAGCTTCACTCTCTTGACTTTAGCACAGCTTTCCTGCAGGGCAGTCTGCACGAGGAGATCTGGCTGCGCCGCCCATCTGGCTTCACTGGGTCGTTTCCTCCTGGTACCCAGTGGAGCCTCCGGCGGCCAGTCTACGGTCTCCGCCAGGCGCCCCGTGAGTGGCACGACACACTGAGGACTACAGTTGCGGCTCTTGGGTTTGCTCCTTCTACTGCCGACCCGTCGCTGTTTCTGCGCACCAACACCTCTTTGCCGCCGTTCTACATCCTCGTGTACGTCGTAGACTTGGTCTTCGCCACTGCTGACACTGCTGGACTCGCCCACGTGAAGTCCGAGCTGCAGAAGAGACACACGTGCACAGACCTGGGTGAACTGCGCAGCTACCTTGGCTTGCAGATCACCCGGGACAGAGCACAGCGCACCATTACCGTGACTCAGTCACACATGGTGGAGCAGGTCCTTCAGCGCTTCGACTTCACGTACTCCTCGCCTCAGGCCACTCCTCTGTCTACTCGCCACTCGCTCTCAGCTCTGCCTTCGGATGAGTCCGTAGAGCCGAGTGGCCCGTACCCAGAGCTTGTTGGCTGCCTCATGTACTTGATGACCTGCACACGACTTGACCTTGCATACCCTCTAAGCATCTTGGCACGCTATGTTGCTCCTGGGAGACCCCGACTAGAGCACATGGCTGCAGCGAAGAGGGTGTTGCGCTACTTGTGCTGTACGTCGGGCATGGGGCTAGCGCTTGGAGGGCGATGTTCAGTGGTCCTCACAGGTCACGCAGACGCTTCTTGGGCTGATGACCAGGCTACGCAGCGGTCGTCACAAGGTTACACCTTCAGCCTTGGTTCCGGCTCTGTTTCGTGGCGGTCTACCAGCTCGTCTTGACCTTGCTCACTTCTTGACCTTGCTTGTACTGTGATCTATCTATACTTGCACTTGCTTGTTTACTTTGATATATGATCTTGCATGTGAACTGGCCTTGTGGCCTTAAGCTTGTGCTCGGAATGTGTGGTGACGTTGTGATCCACCCAGAGCTTGCTTTGCTTTGCTTGACTGGTCTTGTGACCTCTTGTTCTCCCCCACTTTGCCTATGGGGGTGTGTGAGGCATATATGCTATAGTCTGTGTAGGCTGTAGTGGGGTAGACAATATGGGGTACAACACTTTTAGGTTTTCCTACTTGTACCCACCTGCTTGCTAGTTCATTCATTCCTCATTTCTTCACATTTGGGATCATTCCCAACTGATTTGCATAGGTAAACAAGCGTCGCAGCGCGCAAAGGTCGAAATCTGTGCAAGGATAGGTTGTGACGTTAGTACGAGTTCTGTTGAGCTCCGTTTATTTATTGAACTCCCGTTTCTTGCTCCCACTAGGCTCTACTAGCTATTAGGGTGAGCCTCTATGGGTTTGGGATCCTTCGCAACTGATTTGCATAGGTAAACAAGCGTCGCAGTGCGCAAAGGTCGAAATATGTGCAAGGACAGGCTGTGACGTTAGTACGAGTTTTGTTGAGCTCCGTTTGTTAATTAAACTCCCGCTTCTTGCTCCCAATAGCCTCTGCTATCTATTCGTGTGAGAATCTCCGGGCTTGGGATCGTTCACAACTGATTTGCATAGGTAAATAAGCGTCGCAGCGCGCAAAGGTTGAAATATGTGCAACGACAGGCTGTGACGTTAGTACGAGTTGCGTTTAGCTCTGTTTGTTAATTAAACTCCAGTTTCTTGCTCCCAGTAGCCTCTACTATCTATTATTGTGAGACGGTCCAGGTTCATGATCAATCGCAACTGATTTTCATAGGTAAACAAGCGTCGCATCGCGCAAAGGTCAAAATCTGTGCAAGGATAGGCTGTGACGTTAGTACGCCTTGCGTTGAGCTCCGTTTGTTAATTAAACTCATGCTTCTTGCTCTTAATAGCCTCTTCTATCTATTAGTGCGAGACTCGCCGGGTTTGGGATCCTTCGCAACTGATTTGCATAGGTAAACAAGCGTCGCAATGTGCAAAAGTCGAAATCTGTGCAAGGACAGGCTATGACGTCAGTACGAGTTCCGTTGAGCTCCGTTTGTTAATTAAACTCCCGCTTCTTGCTCCAAATAGCCTCTGCTATCTACTCGTGTGAGACTCTCCGGGCTTGGGATCGTTCGCAACTGATTTGCATAGGTAAACAAGCGTCGTAGCGCGCAAAGGTCGAAATCTGGGTAGCGACAGGCTGTGACGTCAGTACGAGTTGCGTTTAGCTCTGTTTGTTCATAAACTCCTGTTTCTTGCTCCCAATAGCCTCTACTATCTATTGATGCGAGAATCTCCGGGTTTGGGATCATTCGCAACTGATTTGCATAGGTAAACAAGCGTCGCAGCGCGCAAAGGTCGAAATCTGTGCAAGGATAGGCTGTGACGTTAGTACGAGTTCCGTTGAGCTCCATTTGTTGATTAAACTCCCGTTTCTTGCCCCCACTAGCCTCTACTAGCTATTAGGGTGAGACTCTATGGGTTTGGGATCATTCGCAACTGATTTGCATAGGTAAACAAGCGTCGCAGCGCTCAAAGGTCGAAATCTGTGCAGGAACAGGCTGTGACGTTAGTACGAGTTGCATTGAGCTCCGTTTGTTAATTAAACTCCCGTTTCTTGCTCCCCATATCTTATTTTAACTTTTGTTTCTACGTGCAAATCACAAAACATCTGAACAATAGAACCCCTGAATGTCGCCGGATGTGTTTCGAACATATCAATGACAATGACAAGGCCGCCATGGATACTTCCAATCGCCTATTTCGTGATGGTTACTTATCAGTTGGTAACTCTGAGACCAGTTCCGAGGTCCTGAGTACATGACGATGTAGAGGATATAATTTTTATGCCTACTACGCGGACATTATATCCTCGGCTACTCAGGTGTATCTCAGGGTTGCGAACACATTTCAAGCTAACCAACCTCAAGGGCTTCTTGATTCCTTCGGCAGTCTCCCAAGCTTTCAATATGATCATCGATAATACAACGATCCTATCCAACGGACCTGGTCCAACAGCACATCCACTCGGTTTCCAAGGCATGATCCCAAGGCAAGGACCTCAGGAGTTCATCATTTCCTTCAAGAGTGCAAGTCACGCGCTCTAAGAACCTGTTATAAGGAGGTGGTGCTCAGTCCTCAAGCAGTATCAGCTTCACACGCTTTTCAGCCATTTCTATCTGGGCTGCTCTTTGAGTATCATCATCGCACCATGCCTCCGAAACGGACGACGAAGGCTGCCGTGGATGTCACGCTTCCGGATGACCTCTCAACGGACCCGATCACCACGCTGTCTCCTGATGGGGATGGGGCTGAGAAGCAAGGATCGGACATCACGATTAACGCTCCGTCAGCCACAAACATTGCTGCTGGGATCATCAAGGAATCGGCCACTACGGCTGCTGCTGTTGTTGGTGGATCTAGGCTGACTGTGGAAGAGAAGAGTCAGGACAATCAGGCTCCTACCACCGTGAATGACGAGTTCCTGGAAGATGATGAGGATGAAGAGCTGGAAATCGACATCGCCAAGGAAGATGCTTTCCGTCTACGCTATACTGCAATCTTACTCATTCCAATGGTGCTTTCACAAGAGATTAAGGCCATCATTGCTGCAGTCCGACTTCTAATGACAAAAGTCTGGAGCTCGTCCTTGACAGAGAATGCTGGGGTTATGGCGAACATACAAGAGATGACACCTGGTTTCGTTGCGAAGACGCGTTTCCGCCGGCTTCAGATCTCCTTCCTGGATGAACGGGATGCGCATCACATCAAGTTTCACGTTTTTTAGTACCAGAAGGCGAATGCTCCGGTGATCAAGTGCATCTGGCAGCATACGGAGGATGCTACATACCTTAAGGAGAAAGCAGCTCGTCCTCTTGCTATTGAAGTGATTTTCCGCCGTGTGCCTGCTAACATTGTTCCAGATGTTTTGAAGGACCTGCTCGTTCGCTTCAAGCTGAAGATGCGTACGCAGTCGGCTTTCAAGGAAGGAGTTGGTTTCCACCGGGTTGCTCACCCACTCACCGGAGCTGATACCGATGTGATCAAAGGCTTGGTCGTTCAGCATCCTGGTGACCAATACCGCTGGCGCCATGTGGTTGACAACCCGATGGGGTCCGGAGAGAGGATTCTGGTCCACTACCCTGCATTGTCCTACCAGCTCTGCAATGGACAGCATTATGACATCTTTCATGATCTGTTCATCACAGTGCGGCAGAACAATATAGGGAAGTGGAACCTTACCTTGGGAAAGGCTCATAGTATCAACGGTAACTGCATCGGTCATTTTCCTATCGACACAGCTTTACCTTTTTCAACTCTTACTGACGATCTCTGTTGCGCTCGCAGCTGCTTCTCTGCGCACCTCCGCTCTTATCACCCCCATACTGAAAGACCCGTCCATTGCTCTCATCTCGACTGGCAGCAACCGCGAAGAATGGATCTACACGCAAGTGTGCTGCGGGAAATCGAAGGGAAAAACTTTCTTGGCTGCTGCGGATCACATCATATCTGCGACTCACCTGCTGAACCAGGAGAAGTTGGGTACTGCTACAAAAGCCTCTATGGACAAGACCAACCTTGCCGATCTGAAGAAAGATTACAACTTCTAAGGCTGCAGAATAAGAACCGAGTGCTGTTAGCGATCGTAGGGTGGAGCGCAGTAGTCAGTGTAGTCACCATCTTCAGCCTGTGGATGAATAAGGGTTGCCAGGCAGTTATCAAATGAGTAACAAAAACTTTCTCTCCGTAGCAGGCCTTAGTGTCAACGGCCTAGGCGACAGAACAAAGCAAGACAAAGTTTCAATCTGGACCAGAACAGCAGCAGATATCATCATTCTCACAGACACAAGACTACCACATAACCATACTTACTGGAAATCCCACTCATCAGGGAGACTGATTGTAGCCACCGCCAGCCGTTTTGGTTTCACTCTTACCCTTATTACTGCCTATTTCCCCGCGGACGCAACTGAAAGATGTTCTTCTTGATGAATGTAGTCGGCCCGGCTTTTGACCAGATCCCCACCACAGACCACGTAGTTCTTCTAGGCAACCTGAACATGGTAGAAGACCCAGTATTAGACCGGACGTCTCAATCAGGCACTTCCTTAGAAAACGAAAGACTCATTTCACGATGCAGCCGCTTTCAGCTTTCAGACGCATTCTGCATGCTTCATCCTAAGCTCAGAGAATATACCTTCTACGCAACCTCTAAGCAATCCAGCTCCCGCATCGACCGCGCGCTCGTTTCTTGCTCGCTTCTCCCGCACCTTGACATAGCTGCACACATACGTCCGGAAGAATACTTAGATCACGGTTTTGGGATAAAAATCGATTTAAACATCAAAGCCTCTTCTCACCTGGGTCCTGGCATCTGGAGGCTGCATGCAGCGGCGATAGGCAGGCCTGGTGTTTGGAAGGCTGTGGAAGCTGCTCTTGCAAAGGCGGCTGAGGAAGGGGAAGGAAACTTCGAGCTACTCTTAGGGAGACTCAACGCGGGGTTACGCCCATACATGAAGGAGGAAAACAAGAGGGTGAAAAAAACAACGGCTCATTTGGCGGAGGTAGTGGCGGAGCTTCACTAGGAGCAGATGCGGATCCCGGGTTGTCACAAGACGAGAGACCTATTGCATGTCAGAGACGCGCAGCTGAAAGAGTATCCCGCGTCAAGAAGAGACCGGCTTCACGTGATGACGGGAACAAACGTGGAGTTAGCTGGGGAGGTTCCTTCACCTTTTCTATCAGCGAGAGTCAAGTTCAGGAAGCAGAAAACACAAATTGCGAAGCTGGCGGTGGGCGGCGTCAAGATCTCCGACTAACCCGGAATCCTGAAGGCCGCGACGCAGTATTTTGCAGACCTGTTTGGTACTGACGGTCAGATGTCAGAAGAGAAGTGGAAACCACTTGCTGGGAGGAAGCTGGACGCAGAGGCCGCGGCTGAGCTTGCGGCTGACTGGTCAGAGGCAGAGGTGAAGCAGGCTATCAAAGCGCTCGCGGACGGCAAATCCCCTGGGAAGGATGGACTCCCTAAAGAGCTCTTTGAAAAGCATTGGGACGTTCTTGGCAAGGAATTTCTCCACATGGCGCAATCTTTCGCCGCTTCTGCATCTATTCCTGCAAGCATCAAGGAAGCGGTTACCATCCTGCTCCATAAAAAAGGCGAGAAGGAGAACCAGGATACCTACCGCCCAATCACATTACTGAATTTTACGTACAAGGTGTTGGCGTGGGTGGTGGCGAATAGGATGAAACCGCACCTGCACAAGGTGATTTCGGCTGAGCAGTATGGTTTTATACCCGGCAGGAGAATTTCAGATGCCATCGGCGTGGTTGCTGACGTTATTGAGGCGGCAAAAAAGGGTAATGAAGACTGGTATATGTTGCTGGTGGACTTTCGCAAGGCTTTCGACTCGGTGTCCAGAAGTTTCCTCTTCAGCGCCCTCAAGGAAATGGGCTTCCCGGAGAGATTCGTTGGTTGGGTGGAAGGTCTGCACAAAGACACCAGAACGAGGCTGCTGATTAAAGGATGGCTGGGGGAAGCGGTGGAGGTAAAATCCGGGGTGAGGCAGGGCTGTCCACTCGCTCCTTACCTGTTTCTCTGCGCGGTGGAGCCTCTAGCGCAGGAATCACAGCGACGGAAGCTTGGTCTCTGCAGCAAGGCAAACCAAAGGTTAGGTTATGTCGGCTACGCAGACAACACGACACTTTTTTTGGACGGGAAAAGACAAATTGCGAGAGCTGAGAAGCTGTCAGCTTGGTTTGCCGGGCTGTCTGGGGCTGCAGACAAAGAAGTGCAAGTCGGTGATCCTTCCGATCGGCCACAACATTGGGAGAAGACTGGGCACGCTGGGAGGTTTTAAATGGGCTAAGGCGGATGAGGCAGAGAGAGTCCTGGGCGTCTGGGTCACCCCCTCCGGAAGCAGTGAGCCGACCTGGAAGCGGGCTTTTGAAAAAATAATTGTGGAACTGATAAAATGGAAGGCGCTGTTCCTCACGATTGCGGCAAGGGTCGTGATTATCAACTGCTACATCACGCCGAGGATAGCCTATCAGGCACAGGTGTACCCCCCGATAGAGGAGATCTGGAAGAAGCTTATGAAGCTGATTCACAACTTTCTAACGGGCAACAATGCATCTGCGGAGAAAGGCTTTGTGCTGTGGAATTGGGGGCTGCTTACCACACCGAAAGCTGGCGGAGGCCTCGGAGTTTTAGACCCAGAGATTCTGCTTGCCTGCGTTGCTGCGAGGAGAATTGGCTGCTTGCTGCTGGAGGAGAATGGGAAAAAGAAAGAGATTATGCTCAAGGCGGCGGGATTACCGCTCGGGGAGGACACGTTTCTGGCTCATGAATGGCTGTTGAAGCACTGGCTGGGAGATAACGAGCGGTGGCTGCGGATGTGCGAGACCTTCATGAACTCTCCGATTGCAGACACTGGGAAGTCCAGTAGCAGAGAGGATGTGGCGCAGAAGAGGGTGGTTTTCAACCGTAAGCTGCTGTTGAATGGCACAAACCCGGTGGGGGGGCAGAAGGAAGCTAAGGGTCTCTGGGAGACGAGGCTGAGGGACCTGGTAACCGCACGGCAGGATGGTGCGGCGGAGATTAAAAACATCGTCACGCTAGAGCGGGAGCTGCGCAGCAGGGACTCAGCCCGATTAGCCCTCAAAGCACTAGATGCAGTGCCACAGGAGTGGAAAGCTGTGCTTGCCCCGGATGCCAGAGGAGAGGGCGTAGTGTCTGGAGTGCAAAACTCGTCAGACATCAGCGGAGGAAGGAAACATGCAGCGGCAACAATTTTCCGTTCGGCGGTTTTCACTAATGGGCAGTTGTCATCCCTGAAGCAGTTGCGGGAATCGTGGGCCAAACCAGATGCGGTCCTTACGAAGCAGGAGAAGTGGTCCGGCAAGTGGAGCGGCAAGATAGATTGGGAGTGGGTCATCCGTACCAGGAACTCGCTTGTCATCCCGAACCGACCGCGTGATGTCCTCACGCGCATACACAACCACAACCTTCAGGTTGGGGAGAGGGTGGATTTTCTCAGCAGCAAGCCGAAGTGCCCATACTGTGGGGAGATTGAGACACAAGACCACTGCCTTTTCAACTGCCCGATGATTGAGCCAGTGGTCTCTGGCCTTCGGCGTGCTTTGCGCATGCTCAACCCCACAAGGACACCTGCCTCGCTCGGGGATCTACTGTTCCAGGAAACTGGTACCACGTCAGATTTTCCTGAAGCCACACTAACGGCCATCACCTTCCACCAGCTGTGAGTGGAACGCTGCGATGCGAGTTTTCGTGGGCAGAAGTTCAGAGCTCGGCGGGTACTCAGAAAAATCGGGACGGCTTTTCAGCTGCATGCAAGGGTGTACACGAGGGTGACTGGAGCAAAATGTGTGAAGCCGGGCAAGCTGGGGAAGCTCAAGAGGGTCAGAGGGGTTTTCGAAGCAGAACAGAAGATGCTGATGAGGATCAGGGAGGTTGGCGACAAGAAGTGGAGTTGGTCGGCCAGCTTCGCGGCAATTTGGAACAGGCCAAAGAGGGCTTTCTTACCGCCCTAGTTGTCTCGCTGGGCAGCGCAAGGTGTCTGCCCTCACGCTCAGTTACGACTGCTATTGCTGTATGCATTGTCCTTTTTAATGTATACTTCAATTACAAAAAAAAAAAAAAAAAAAAAAAAACCAGGCATACCTATTTACTAGCCACCTATCCTCACTGCTCTTTGGCTTTATGAGGTGGACGACTCGAAGAATGCTGGAAGTTGCAATGACCCGATACCTCTCAGTACTCGTAGCGGACTTCAAAACCACGCATCGAGTAGTACTGTCACGAGCTTCTAGCCGGTCGTAGTATCGGATGTAGGCGTAATCCTGGGTCTTTCCACCGACCTGTGCATGGAACAACAACAACACCTTTGCAAACCACTCCTCATAGCCAGCTGCACCTTTACCCTGGACCGCGACATCCGAATACCATTCTCGGCCATGGTGTTTCGGAATAGCTCGTATACGGTGTGGCAAACGACTGTAAGTGGCGCCGATTGCGGCCGGCATAGCCAGCTCCCAATGAACCTAGAGAAAACAAAAACAGAGAGAGGAAACAAACAAGTATTACCAACACTGACCGTGCAACATTTTTAAGGGTTTAAGATGAGATTGCCAACTCACCCAAACATCTTTAATATCCTCGCCACGCCCGTTGCAAGATGGTGCAAGGTTTAGCGTTTTTCTGAAATCCTTTAAGTCTTGGCCTATTGATGCTAGCAGGGGTGTGTCGCACTTCACATCCAGCTTCCATGGTTCAACATACGGAGCATGCTGACGATCCCATGGCACATGTAGACGCCAACTTCGCCGAGACAAGATCCGTTCCTGTCCTCTGTGCCTGGAGATGGGAGACAAGGATGGCAATGGGGGGAGAACGACATCGTGGGACAGAGGGGGGTAGCAAGGGGCACAGTGGGATGTCATGGGACAGAGGGGGGTTGCAAGAGGCAGAGTGGGACAACATGGGACAGAGGGGGGTAGCCCGGGGTAGGGTGAGATGCCATGGGGCAGATGGGGGTTGCAAGGGGCAGGGTGGGATGTCATGGGGCAGAGGGGGGCTGCAAGGGGCAGGGTGGGATGTCATGAGGCAGAGGGAGGTTGCAAGGGGCAGAGTGGGACAACATGGGGCAGAGGGGGGTTGCAAGGGGCAGAGTGGGACAACATGGGACAGAGGGGGGTATCAAGGGGCAGAGTTGGATGTCATGGGGCAGAGGGGGGTTGCAAGGGGCAGGGTGGGATGTCATGGGGCAGAGGGGGGTTGCAAGGGGCAGAGTGGGACAACATGGGACAGAGGGGGGTAGCCCGGGGTAGGGTGGGATGTCATGGGGCAGAGGGGGGTTGCAAGGGGCAGGGTGGGATGTCATGGGGCAGAGGGGGGTTGCAAGGGGCAGGGTGGGATGTCATGGGGCAGAGGGGGGTTGCACGGGGCAAGGTGGGATGTCATGGGGCAGAGGGGGGTTGCAAGGAGCAGAGTGGGACAACATGGGACAAAGGGGGGTAGCCCAGGGTAGGGTGGAGAGTCATGGGGCAGAGGGGGGTTGCAAGGGGCAGAGTGGGACAACATGGGACAAAGTGACATCCATACATCCCTTCCCCACCCCCCCCCCCCTCCCCCTCTCTCTCACCTTCACCAGCGCCGTGTCGTACTTCTTAGTCTTATCCATCATTGGTGCTAGAGATCGTAGGCGAAGTCTAGACTCCTCGCTACGCACCACCTGCTCATTCATGTCCCTCATGTTCGACGCTCTATACGGTTGCTTCACAAACTCGATGTGTAAGTGTTCATAGAGTTGTGCACAGTAATTTTTCTGGTACACCGGGGCGCTTTATGGAGTCGACGTAATGACTAATGAGGTGCATTTTAATAATGTTCCATTGCGACGCTTGCGTGAACTCCACCTGACGTGCAGCCTTGGGATACCATCAATTGGGGCAATGAGCCCTCTACCCCACGGTGCACCGTTGACGGGCCTGACCACGAGCCACGCAAACCAACCTTTGTCCTTGGAACTATCCCTGGGACCAACATTCCCCTCTCCATAATTCTCGACAGGGACTCTTTTGGTACTGATGTTGACCACGGTGACGAAGAAGGAGGTGACGAAGCGGCAACGGAACCCACTGCAGTACCAGAAGAAGACCCTGATGCTGTGCGCGCATGCTACATGCGCACCTCACGACTCTGTGCCAACGATGACCGACCTTTGGCACCAGCGCCTCGGTCACCCCTCGCGTATAACGCTGAAAAAATGCATCGAAGCCGACGTGTTTGCGTCTGGCGCACTCCTGCGCCCAGATGGCACCAAAGTAAGGAGCAGGACACAGCCGCGCAACTGCACCGTCTGCCCCGAATCTGCGCTGAGTCACCAGCCGTTCCCGCCGCTCGAACGTGTAACCAACCGCAACCCCAAGCTGCACAAAGTGTACAGCGACTTCCTCAACATGGGGCATTGCAGAATCAACGACGAGCTGTGTACGCTCACCTTTGTCAACGACGAGGTGTATACGCGGGAATGCGCTATGTCTAGATCGTGAACGTGGAAGCGGGTAGCGGAGCATACGAAGTCTTACGACTCTGGCTGGCGCACGCGCAGTGGCTGAAAATCTGGCAATCGGACGGCGCAGTGGAATTTAGGAGCAAGGAGCCGCAGTATTACCTGGCGTAGAAGGGAACTCAGCATCAGATTCCCCTCCCCTAAGCGCACCAGCAGCAAGGCGTAGTCGCGCGCACGAACTGTACACCCATGACGAAGGTGCGGGCGCTGATGAAGCAATCAAAGCTTCCGCAAATATACTGAACCTTCGCAATGCATCACGCCGTGCGGGTGCACAACCTGCTATCAACCACTGCCATCGCCGGCAATCTGTCTCCGCATCTGAAGTGGACAGGGACCAAGGGCGACATATCCATGCTCCGCGTGTGGGGATGCATGGTGCAGTATCGCCCGCCAAACATCAACCATCGGGAAATTCGCAAGCCACTCGCGCTGGGGAATACAACTCGGCATCAGCCACGAGCACAAGGGGTGGCTCATCCTGGATCTCATCAGCCAAAAGGTCACAAATGCGCGCAACGTCTTTTTCTACGAGCGGCTCTTCCTCGAGCGATTCCGCAAAGACAAGCGGGCGAACGCGAATGGCGTCTATGCCAACAATGGGCACAGCTATGCCACACCTAAAGACGAAGCCGCCGCAGCTATCCTAGAGCAAGAAACCAGAGGGGAATTTACAACAGGCGATCGCCACAGCATCGACGAGGACGACGACGACGATTCCCATGGAGGAGGAATTGGTGGATCAGGAGGAAGCAGCAGAGGCGCAGCACCACCAGCACCAACTGAACCAGAGAGCGACGACGATGACATTCAAGAGGTCGTCCCGCAGCATCGCCACGACAGCACCGTTTCTGGACTGCAGCTCCGCACCGCCACCTCAATGACGCCACGTGTCACCAAGCCAAAGAATCCGCGCCAAGCTCTCACGGGACTACACAGCAAGGAATGGCATGAGGCAATGGATGCAGAAATCAAGGCACTCGAGTCCCACGACACCTGGGTGCTCGTCGACCTTGCCGTTGTCAAGGGGAGAAGAATCCTCTCCGGAAAATGGGTCTTATGCGTGAAGACAGCAGCAGACGGCACGATCGAGCGATTCAAGGTGTGTTGGGTTGTGCGCGGCTACGATCAGTGGCACGGCATTGACTTTGACCAGACATTTGCCCCGGTCAGTTGTCATACTTCCGTCAGAAACTTGCTCGCCATCGCCACCACAAGGCACTTCCGACTTCGACAGATCGACGTGAAGAACGCGCGTTCCTCTGCTCCTTAGTGGATGCTGTAACCTACGTGGAGCAGCCGCACACATATGGCGAGGGAGATTCACGCGTGTGCCAGCTACGGGATCAAACAGGCACCAAGGCTCTGGCAGTAATACCCGCACAACATACTGCTTGAGATAGGCTTCAAGCAGCTGCCTCACGATCCCGGGATGTACCGCCACGACTTCCGCGATGAATACATCCTGCTAATGGTAAACGTCGATGACCTCCTCTACACAGGATCAAGCAACGAGCTGCTTGAGCAGTTCGAGAAGAATCTCGCGAAGCGCGTCGACATCACCTGCAACTATAACTTGACGCAGTTCCTTGGGCTTAACATTCCCTATTCACCAAAAGCTATTCACCTCTCAGCAGCCAAGTATGCAGAAAAACTTGGCAAACGCTTCAACATTGTGCCTGCGCCGCTCTCCATGCCTTACCACACCCCGGGACCGAATCACAAACCTGACAACAAAACCCTATCCCCCGCTGGACTCCAAACTTACCAGAAGCAGCTAGGATGCCTGCTCTTCGCCTCTGTCACCTGCAGGCCCGATCTCTCGTACATCACGAGCCGATTGGCTCAGTACTCACGCAAACCAACGGCTGAGAATCTTCTAGATCTTCAGCGTGCCTTGCGATTCTTCATTTCCACGCCCAATGTCGGACTCTGCTACTCCACAGTCCCCACCGCACCTTTCAACCTTATCGGCTACGTGGAAGCCGACAACAATCGACGGTCCAGGGCCGGTTTCCTGTTTCGCCTCAAGCCTAGTGACCCCATCTCCTCAAACTCACAGAAGCAGGAGTTGGTTGCCCTATCATCGGCGGAAGCCGAATTCATCGCAGCAACAGCAACCGTTCGCGAAGGCCTCTAGCTACATGAGCTATTCCAGGAGGCAAAGGTTCCAACTGTGCCGAACTTCCGCCTGCACTGCGCCCCTTGTCAAAAAGGCTAGGCAGGAATGAATAAAAAAGGACAAAGCTGAGTACAAGTATGAAACCCTAAAGGAACTATACCCCATATTGGCTACCCCACTACAGCCTACATATATATAACACATATATAGCTTGACACACCCCCATAGGCAAAGTGGGGGAGAGCAAGGGCTCACAAGACCAGTCAAGAAAAGCAAAGAAAGCTCAGGGTGGATCACAACGTCACCATACACACTGAGCACAAGCAAAGGGCCACAACGCCAGTTCACATGCAGAGGTATATATGCAACAGCAGCACAGTGATCACTACCTAGCAAGAGCGAGCATGTAGGTATATATATATATACATATATACATATATATATATCACAATACAAGCAGAGCCTAGAGCAAGTGAGGAAACGTAGGCACAAGGCCTAACAAAGTACAAAAGCGCTGATGATGACCAGACGGAAGTGCCTTGGTGAATATATCCGCAGTGTTGGCCTGAGTGGCCACATGAGCAAGATGAAGCTGACCACACTGCTGCAACTCTCGAGCAAGGAAGTAACGCAGAGCGATGTGCTTCGTTCTATGCTTCCAGTCTGTGCTCCTGACACAAGGCAAAGGCGGCCTTGTTGTCTACGTACAAAACTAGAGGAGAACGAGGCCACTCTCCCAAGTCGGTGAGCAGGTAGGTGAGCCAGCGTAGCTCCTGTGCAGCCATGGCTGTGGCGTAGATCTCAGCCTCACAACTGGAGCTGAGAACAGAAGACGAGCTTGTAGACCGCCACGAAACAGAACCAGAGCCAAGGCTGAACGTCTAACCCTGTGACGACCGCTGCGTAGCTAGGTCGTCGACCCAAGAAGCGTCTGAGTGCCCACTCAGGACAACTTGGCTCCGCCCTCCAAGCACGAGCCCCATGCCCGATGTACTGCACAAGTAGCGCAGTACCCTCTTAGCAGCATCCATGTGCACCTTTCGGTGCCGACCAGGAGCCACGTAGTGAGCCAAAAGGCAAAGAGGGTACGCAAGGTCAGGTCGAGTGCAGGTCATCAAGTACATGAGGCAGCCCACTAGCTCTGGGTACGAACCACTCGGCTCTACGGACTCGTCCGAAGGTCGAACTGAGAGCGAGTGGCCTATAGCCAGAGAAGTGGGGTGTGGCGAGGACCAGGTGAAGCCGAAGTGCTGAAGGACCTGCACCATGTGTGACTGAGTTAGTGTGATGGTGCGCCGTGCTCTGTCGCGGGTGATATGCAAGCCAAGGTAGCTGCGCAACTCACCCAGGTCTATGCACGTGTATCTCTTCTGCAGCTCCGACTTAACAGGGCAAGAGCTTCAGTGTCAGCAGTGGGAAAGACCAAGTTGTCGACGTACACGAGGATGTAGAATGGCGGCAGCGAAGTGTCGGTGCGCAGAAACAGCGACGGGTCAGCACAGGAAGGCGCGAACCCAAGAGTCGCAAGCGTCGTCCTCAGTGTGTCATGCCACTAACGAGGCGCCTGGCGGAGACCGTAGACTGGTCGACGGAGGCTCTACTGGGTACCAGGTGGGAACGACCCAGTGAAGCCAGGTGGGCGGCGCAGCCAGATCTCCTCGTGCAGACTGCCCTGTAAGAAGGTTGTGCTGAAGTCAAGAGAGTGAGCCTCGTAGTCACGCTGAGCGGCGACGTGCAGCAGCACCCGAAGAGTGGTCATCTTCGGGGTGGGGGAGAAGGTATGGAAGAAGTCAACTCCCTCTCGCTGACTGAAGCCTTGTGCAA